TCATAAAAGGAATCCAGCAGATCGTATTTCTGTATTGTTTCAGGAAAAAGGTAATTGCTGCAAGCCACGGGTTACTGAAAATGGAGTAATTATTAGTAACATTAGAAAATGTAATAAATAGCTGGATAATCAATAGATCATATATATTTGTACATATTGTATAATAAATGACAAACTTAAAAATAAATACATATTTTTTTTTATCAAAGTATGCATTGTTTTTGTTTTTATAATATGCTTGCGTTCAAGAAAGTAGCAAATTACATTTATGTATATAAGCTTTGACCAGCATTTTTTCAATTTTGTAAACAGCAGAAACTGCAACAAAATAGATGGAATATAGCAGTTTACAACCTATGTGTATTCACAAGAATACCCTAAAAATATACAGAATGCCGAATTATAATATAAATCAAATTGAAATAATGCTAACAGACCAACATTTTATTAATTATTCTAGCCTTCGTTATTAATACCCCTCCTGTGTGAGTACTAAACCACCAGCACTAATCAGACAAGAATGTGATTAAGTCAGCATAAATGAGTAGATTAGTTTGAAAAGTAGTGCAAGTGTAATCAAATTTAAAATTTATTATTCAAATAGACCCTAACACTATTTTAAATTGAAATTCAGATTCAAACTTTTGCATATACAATGTATGCTTTGTTTTTTTATTACCTAGCCATCAAAATGGCGTGGGTGGTTGAGGGCTAGCCTTGGTTGTTCACGTTTCCGTAGAAATAAACAACTTGTTGAAATGGAAATAAAAGACTTACTGGCAAGGCAGAGAATTCCAAGAATTAAACCTGAATCCCAATACGCACTCAGTATCAGGTTCAGTCATGTCAAGGGCATCGTCAAGGTTAAGCATCACCCACGCACAAGCAATTGCCGATGCAGCGGCAGCATCAGAGGAGGCTGAGTACGAGATAACCATAGCCAAACAGCAAGCAGAGCAAGCATCAATGGAAGCCAGTTTCAAAGCCAATTTGAAAATACTAGAAGCAAAGAAAAAGGCAGCAGTCACAAAGGCAAGTGCAGAAGCATTTCAGAAAGTAGTGGAAGAAGGTGCAACACAACAGATGTTCACATTACCTCAGGAAACGTCTAATGATCACGCCTTACGTTTTCATACGCGTAACGAACATAACCTCAAACCACAAGCTTCACCCTATTTCCTAGAACAACCAAGACCTCCACCACCAACTACACTTACTGGGTATGATACAATTTCTCCACTCCAAACTACAAAACAGCCAGGGGATGCAAGTATGATAAAAAATAACACATGAATACAGCAGTTCAGACCAGCACCTTCCAAGTGAGTACATCAAAATATTGGCTCGTCAACACCTACCAGTTCAAGAACCTGAAGTGTATGGTGGTGATCCTATCATGTTTCTGCCGTGGCGCAGAACTTTTGAATCAATGGTCCAGACGGCGTGTGTGCCAACAACTGAGAAATTGTCTTTTCTCAGTAAATACACCAAAGGAGAACCTAAGATCTTAGTGGACAGATTTAGACTGCGGTATGTAAAGAATGTTGAAACTGCCTACCAGGAGGCATGGAAAGAATTAGAAAACAGGTTAGGAAACCCAGCAGTGATCACAGCTGTTATCACAAAAAAGCTGACTTCATTTCCCCGCCTGACAGAATGCAAGTCATTTACAAAGCTACCAATAGCACACAGAATAGAACTGTATAAGAATAAAGGATTGTGCTTCAAATGCACACACAAACACCTGGCCAGAGACTGCGACACCGATGTGAAGTGCTCAGTCTGCAACACTACCAAACATGTCTCATGTCTACACACCACACCTTGTGTGACAACCACACCAAAAGAACAGAAAACAGAAACACCAAAGAATGAAACAAGTCAGGAGGCCACATCAAAGTGTACTAAGCTCAACAAGTGTCCAGGTGCACGCTCATGTGGTAAGATAGTTCCTGCAAAAGTCTACATGCAACACAATCCAGTGAACATCATAGAAACGTATGTTGTCTTGGATGACCAGTCCAATTCCTGCATGGGAGACACATACCTGTTTGATGCACTAAATACCAGGTCCAGAACTGGAATATGAACTCACCACATACAGCAGCCAAGGGGAAAATAGAAGAGGTAGGCGAGGAAATCACATTATCATCGAGGCTACTGTCGGTAAGAAGAAATTCACCCTCCCAGTTAGAGAACAACAGTATACCCTACGGCAAGAACGAAATACCAACACCTGAAATATGCAGATCATTTACTCATCTCAGACCAATAGCAGACAAAATCCCAAAGATACAGGATGGCATTGGGATACATCTCCTGATAGGGAGAAATTGCCCGGAGCCCCTAAAAATTAGAGAATCCAGGAATGGACCAGTCAGTGCACCTTGGGCTCAACGTACCGACCTAGGGTGGACAGTATCTGGCGACCTGTGCTTTGAAACAGTTAGAGGTACAGTTAGAGCATCTGTTCGTCGCACAAAAATAAGTTTCAACAACCATAACCCAGTAGGCTGGACAACTATACAGAACCCACTTAAATGTGACAATCACATTCGCATCAGTGAAAATATAGCACTGACACAGCCAGTTGAGAAGATGTATTTCAAGAAACACCAGATGATGAGAAGAACGCCCACTCTATAGAAGACAAGCGCTTCTTGCACATCATGCAAAATGGTACCCACATCAACAGGAAGGGAAATTTAGAACTACCCCTACCATTTAGATACGACCCAAGGCGACTACCAAACAACTACTAGACAACAATGAGTCGCTTCAAAAATCTTTTGAAGCAGCTAGAACGAAAACCAGAGATGATGGAACAATACCTACAATTCATGGAGAAGGTAATAGAACGTCAACACGCCAGTCTTGTTCCTGATTCAGAATTAGCTTCTGACAACGCTTGGTATTTACCTCACTTTGGGGTATACCACCCAAGGAAAGCACAGAGTAGTGTTTGACTCCAGTGCAAGGTGTAATGGAACTTCCCTGAACGATGCATTGCTTCAAGGGCCAGACCAGATGAACAGTCTCATTGGTGTCTTGCTGAGGTTTAGATGTCACCCTATAGCAGTTATGGGTGATATAGAACAGATGTTTCATAGTTTCCATGTGAATGAGGAACACAGGAACTATCTACGCTTCTTTTGGTTCCAAGAAACAATCCAGAGAAACCTGTGATTAGTACCAGATGAATGTTCATCTGTTTGGGAATGTTTCGTCACCAGCCATCGCAACATATGGTCTAAGAATGATAGCAGAAGATAATTATACAACATATAGAGAAAATGTTCGAGAATTTGTATATTCAGACTTCTATGTAGATGACAGACTTACCTCCCAGCCAGATGCAGAAGCAGCTGTCAGTCTCATCAGTAGAACACGAGAGATGTTGTCTACTAGGAATATAAACTTCTACAAAATTGTCTCTAACAACAAAGAAGTAATGAACTGCCAAAGATCTACAATGCCTAGATCTTAACCAAGACACACTACCCACACAGAGATCCTTAGGTATCCAGTGGTTCCTACACTCAGACACTTTCACGTATAAAGTAAACTTACAAGAGAAGCCATTTTCACGGCGGGGAGTTCTAGCTATCATGAACTCCATTTACGATTCCTTAGGCATCTTGGCTCCAGTCACAATAGAGGGTAAGCGGATTCTACGTGGTCTAATAGCAGAAACTTCTAAAGTAAAGGAAAACACGCATGTAGGATGGGATGACCCACTACCAGAAGAATACCTACCACGCTGGAAATGCTGGCGAGACAGTCTGGTCCATCTTGAGAACGTTCATATACCTCGCTGTTACACCCCTCCTGTATTTGGACCAGTAAAGAGAAGGGAATATCACATCTTTTGTGATGCCAGTGATGTAGCTATTGGAGCAGTTGCGTACTTGAGACAGATAAATGATAAAGATGAGGTAAACGTAGCATTCCTCCTAGGAAAGGCAAAAGTGAACCCAACCAATGCAGTATCGATACCTCGTCTAGAACTGTGTGCACCTATACTAGCCACTCAGTTAGCAAGCAAGTCAAAGCAGAAATCAGAAGTCCCACAGACTATACAGTCTACTACACGAACAGTACAATAGTCCTGGGATACCTGAATAATGAAGCTAAGCAACTTCATGTAACTAACCACATTCAGAAAATCCACAACTTGTCCTCACCAGACCAGTGGTGTCATATACCCACAAGCCAGAACCTGGCTGACCTAGTGACACGCTCAGTCCTAGCCCATCAACTTAGTAACACCATGTGGCTCAAAGGCCCACAACTTCTCTGGCAGCCAGATCACACACCTGAAACAAACAACAGTCAACAGACTTATGTCATCATTGATGAAGATCCTGAAGTGCGCAAAAAAATCTTGCGTGTTTGCAACAGACATAAGTCCAGATAACCCGTCTGGCCACCTAAGCTCTAAAAGGTTTCTACGGTTCTCATCATGGACCTCCCTCAGACGAGCAGTAGCAAACCTCATACTGAAGATACAGTCCTACAAGACTAATTGTAATGAAGTTACAGATGTAAGACTTACACCCAGGATTCTGGAACGTGCAGAGAATTATATACTTCGCACAGTACAAAAGGACGCTTTTCCCAAGGAACTCAAACAATTATCGCCATCAGACACTGGTGGTAATGAGTTGAGAAAAGATAGCCCTCTCTATCGACTGAATACATTTATGGATGAAGATCAACTACTCTGTGTCGGTGGAAGAATTCGCAGAGCAGATTTCGAACGATCCAGTTGCCATCCAATAGTATTGCCGAAGAACAATCACATCTCACAACTCATCATAGAACATGTGCACCAAGAACACAACACCAAGGCCGGCATCTCACACTGGCTGCAGTAAGAGCCAAAGGCTCCTGGATACTTGGTTTGCACAACCTAGTACGCAGCATATTACATAAACTCACAACATGTAGAAGACTACGAGCAAAACCGTTGACTCAAGTAATGGCCGACCTACCCGCAGACAGAATGGCAAACACTCCACCTTTCACTAATGTCGGTATGGACGTCTTTGGTCCGTGGAACATAGTATCTAGAAAAACCAGAGGTGGAGCATCAGGAGTTAAGCAATGGGCAGTTATCTTTGTCTGCCTATACACGACAGCAATACACATATAAATAATTGATTCAATGGACAATGCATTCATAAACGCTCTTCGTCGTTCCATGGCCATGGCACGAATTTCATAGGTGCAAAGTATGAGCTCAATGCCGCCATCAAGGAACTTAACCAGAAGCAGATACAGAAGTTCCTTACATACCACAAATGTGAATGGATTCTGAACCCACCCCATGCTTCACATTTTGGAGGCATCTGGGGATTGGCACAGTGAGACGTATTCTAGAATCCATGCATGTACAGCTTGGAAGACCACAGTTCACACACTATCACGACCCTCATGGTAGAAGTATGTGCTGTGGTCAATCCACAAGCACTTAGTCCAGATATGATCCTTACCATGAAACCACACTCACTGCCCCCACTCCAGGAGATTTTGTACAACGAGACCTCTACAGTAGAAAGCAGTGGGACGTACACAATATCTATCCGATCAGTTTTGGATTCGATGGCGGAAAGAATTTCTACAGATCCGTCAAACAAGGCGCAAATGGAATGAAACAACCCCAAACATCATGGAAGGTGACATTGTTCTGCTATGTGACAAAGAGCACTGTCAAAACGACTGGCCACTAGCTCGGTGTACCCCAGTGACGACAACCTAGTGAGAAAAGCTGATGTTGTGGTCTGTCGTGATAACACCAGAAGTGTCTACCAAAGGCCGATTTGTGAACTTGTTTTAATTCAGAGAAACAACAAGATGGACATTTAAGACTTGTTAGTAGTTAGTAAATATGTTAGTTAGTAAAATCACGCTCTACCGTGCATTTTAGACGGGGAGTGTGCTGTACACAAGTTTATTTCGCATTTCAATTGTTATCGTTATTTCGTGATTCGTCGAAACAGAAAGGCTGCTTATAGCACCACCTACGCATGTAAAGTGCGCCATCACAGGTCACGTTCGAATCGCGCTAAAACGCTTGTTTATGATAGGCAGCCATGATGAAAAGCTACGAGCACATTTCTACGCAGCGTCTACCGAACATTTTACTCGGAATACTGCTTTAGAAACCCAACGATGTAAGTCTACAATCTTTTGAACGTTTATTTAAAACCTTTTTGTTACATTGTGTTACTGGAAATGCGTGATATTTCTAAAGTCATTCATGAAGTGAGATCGTTACCTCATGGTTACAAATAGTTTCACAGTTACTTTCAGTGTCTGTATTGCTTTTATGTTATAGAATTTGTTTTAAATAAATCTGACCTGAACTGACGCACTGGAGGGATGATTATTTGAGCATGGTTGACACTAGTATGGGTATAATAGACGCAGTTTGACCCCAGAACATTTTATATCAATACTATGACATAAGCGCAGGAAGATTCCTATCGGGGAAAAAGAACCTGTAAGCGACAAGCATTTGTTTATAGTGGAAATTAGAAAGGAATAACAAGCGAAGCAGGTTTACAAGATAATTTATTACTTTACTGACGTTCATCAGCTATAACTCACTGCTCGAAACAATAGGCGGACAACCATGAGACGACGTTACAAACATATGAGTAGAAAATAAAGCAGCAAATAACTTTGTCATATTCTGAATTGTACAGTTATTCGATGGACTGTGATTCGATGGATTTACACTAAAGGGTTTGTTTGACGTCAGTGTGCAGGATTGTAACACTCACACGTATGATAGATGACACGAATATCGTTATAGTGGACAATATACCATTGCTGAGAATTCAAGCATTTGAAATTTATGTCATCACAATAAATGCTGCATTTATTTATTCATGTTAATTATGTGGAGGCTGCAATGAAACAGGCATATCATTTGACAATGCATAGATGACTAATTCACACATACAGCTTATACATATTATTGCATTTCGGTTCGCCTGATCGTGTAACATCAAAATAAGGTCTCTTGGCATTCGAAAACAAATGTAGTATATCTATTTTGATTTTATTTAATTTCTTTTAAGTCAATTGCCAATCTACGACTTCAACATGAGTGGCCACCATGTAGTAGTAGAATACCCGGTATCAATATTTTGTATTAGGAGAACCATTAATATAATAATAATACGTAATTTATAAAGCGTCAGTATCCAAAACAAGGTAATGTCCAATGACGCTGTACATAGAGATGACTACTTGTTAAAGGCTTTCCTAAAAAGAAGATTCTTTAGTTGAGTCTTGAAACTGTTCAATGTTGGTGACTTGCATAGTTTAAGTGGTAATGTGTTCCAAAGCAGTGGTGCAGCTAATAAGAAAGAACGTTTGCCGAATGATTCTGATTCATATCTTGGTTCATGTAAGAGTTCCTTATTTGTTCAACAAAGTTCGTGAGGTGAAGAACGAATGTGAATTAAGCCTGATATATAACAAGGTGACATGTCATTCAGTGCTTTGTAGGTGTTTAGTAGCATCTTGTATTCAATTCTGAGCTTCACCGATAGCCAATGCAAATCTTGTAGAATCGGTGTAATATGTTCACGTTTCTTTGTGCGTGTCATAATTCTTGCTGCTGTGTTCTGGGCATGTTATAGTGACTTTGTAGTAGTGTTCTCTGGTAGTCCGAATAAAGGTGAACTGCCGTAGTCGAGTTTTGATGATTAATGCATGAATAATTATTGTACATGTATTTTTAGAGGGGAAGCGTCGTATGTGATCAATGTTACGTAGGTGAAAGTATATAGACCGACGAGTTGCATATATGTGCTTTTCGAAACTGATGATAATCAAAGATGAGCCTGATGTTTCTTACCATCTTTTTGAGTTGGATAATGCTGGATCCAATCAGAATATTTTCTATTGGGCAAAGAACAGTGGTTAAATGGTGATCTAATTATCATCAGTCAACTTTAATTTGTTGCATGACATCCATGATTTAATGTCACGAGCTGTACTTTCAATTTTGCTGACTAGGGACGGTGTGTCAGAGTATGATAAGGCGAGGTAGATTTAGTTGTAATCAGCACAATGGTTGAAATTAACACTATGAAGACGAATAAGTTGACCTAGTGGTGATATATAAATGGAGAATAGTAGAGATCCTAGAACAGATCCTTGGGTAAATCCGGTTTTAAGTACATGAGAAGCGAAGAGACTATCATTGACAGAAACGCGCTTGTGACGATCCTTCAGATAAGAAGTGAACTAGAGAACTGGAGTATCAGTAATGCCAAGATTGAACAGTCTTGTCAGAAGTATATCATGGTCAATTGTATCGAATTGTATTATGGGCCTTTAGAAGTGTTTTTTCGGTGCTATGAAATATCGTATATGCAGATTGTAAGAGTTATGGTAATAAATATTCAGAAAGATATGTTAGATAGGACGGTAATGTTTAAGTATGTTGCTGTCGAATGACAGTTTCTTCAGTGAAGGTATGACGATTGCAGTTTTCATGAACTACAATTCCAGAATGTAGAGAGATGTTACTTATATCATCAAGTTTATGTACCAGTTTTCCAAGATATTGTTTAAATGGTGTTGTTGGAATAGAATCCAAGCGGCATGATTTCGATGGTGATTTACTAATATTGTCGGATAGTTCATCTGTATTAGTGGTCCTGAAAGCGTGAAAAGTGGAGGTGGATGTAGTTTCTATATCCGGCAGAATATTGGCATTTGTAATCGAGTCTAGTTTGTCACGAATATCTTTGATCTTATTGTTGAAAAATTTGCTGAATTCATTGGCAAGTGTTAGGTTACACTTATGTGATGGTAACTGTTTCTGACTTGAGTCAGTAGTGTACCATTTACTATCTGGGCGTAGAGTGATGACCCGTTTTTTAATTGAATTGTAAGATGGCAGTCTGTGGATCGGATAAAGGCAGGATAATCTCAGGAGATACTTGCAAGTCGCTCTGGAAATCATCGATAAGTTATTCGCTTTTCCGAGATTGATTGTATCTGCAGAGTTGGAGATGATTAGATCTAGTAGATGATTAGATCTAGTATATGACCTTTTAGTTGGCTTCTTTACCCACTGCTT